TTTTTTTTTCTCACTTAATCTGCATCTATAGTAGCATAACATGGAGTTCAATGACTGTTTGATCCATGTGTGTTGCATAAAGTACCTTTTCTGTTAAGTAGTTTTGGTCAGTTCCTGGATCTCCATTTGTGTGAGGAAGTTTTTTTATTCTTTTCCACCTACTGTGGTTATCTCTCCCTGACCAACATGACAAATCTCCCCCATGAAACTATAATGACATGTGTAGACAGAGTTCTCATTTGTATTTCTCCTGCTTGCTGAGTAATATCCTATCTCAAAGCCTGGTTCTTGAAAGTTCTTTAGTGTTGAACATATTGGAAATATAACTTGGCAGGGTCAGCATCATTTGCTCTTTTCCAGCATGTTGGTCAAAAGGGAAAATTAATTGTATAGAGGTATTTACTGTATATGTTTCTGAAACAATGAAGCATCTTCTGTGGAATTATAATGGTCTACTTTGGGTCCACCTTCATCGTGGTGCCTGGCTATTTTGAAGTGTGGTTCATTGACAACAGCTCCTGATTAACAGGGAAGACTTGAGGCTTGGAGTTCTTAATCTTTGTGCAAGTGGTTTAAGTCAAAATGTGGTGTTCAAGGAACCAGTGGATGAGTATTCAGCATCGTTGCCTTTTATGCTGATAAAGGGCCATAAAGTTTGAATTGGAGGGAATACCTTTGTAACTTTACTGTTCTGAAATTGACATTGAATCTAGGAGTGACTTGAGATAATGACGACTGGGCCTGTGAGAAAGAAACCAGGGCAATAAAGTACTCTCGCCAAAGCCATTAAGAGAAGGATATGGGGATTCTCGAGCCCTTGACATATATTGTTTGTTTATTAGTTGGCGCCTAGTCTGGAGTCAGGAACCAGTTGATTTCTATCTTGGCGTAGTCTTTGAAATGTCTGCAGGATACTTTCATTCAAAGCTAAAGTAAGCCAATTTTATTGCCTAGCTTTAAAGATTAATAATGATTTACTCGTTTCCTAACCATTTAACAGAGTGGACCTTCTCTGGGGCTCGGGTCTTTATCTGCACGGGAGACGGTGTCTGTGGTGGGATTAAAGGGAGCCCACCGGCACTGTGAACCCGGGGAGCAGGGGTCACGAGAGTGCGCCTCTAAGGGCCGCCCGATGGCCAAACACATTAAACTCTGTTCGCTGGGTCACGCCAGGAGAAGCATGGAAATGCTTGACAGGCGATGGAGAAAAGTGCTGCTTGCTTTTCTGCTCAGCCCACGTTTGTTTCCTGTGGCGAGTGTTCTGGACGGCCGTGGATTTCACTTCACTGGACTGGAAGGGTTAAGATCAAGCATGCACTTATGCTCTTCTATGTTTTTTTATTGGCAATATGAATTTATTTAGAATTAAACGCTTAAACCAAAGAAAAAACTGGTCACTACTTACAAGTAAAAATGCACGTACTGACAAAGAAGCTCAGTGCAATCTTGTTCCCTTTTTGTTTTTTCCCTTCAGGTTATATATATTTAAGTAAATTGTAAGTAAATTATGTAAGTAAATTCACATTTAATGTTTTGTGGCAGGCATTTAGATGAATATAGATCATCTGGAAAGTATTGAAAGTCCATTGAAAAATAATTTGAAATGATATTGTCAGACAGGGAGTGACCTCAGTGTAGTATCAGCTTAAGGGCGTTTTTAAACCAGAAGGTGGCGCTGCAGCCAAGCGTGCCCTTCATAGGGTCTTCAGCAGTAGCCAAGTCGGTCTAACATCGCTGTTCTGTTGCATCTCACTGACCTGGTCATGTAACATATAACTACACATACTGCACTACAACTGACATTCTTAATCAGTTTTGTATTATTAATGTTACATGACTGTTTTGGTAAATATATCAGAAGTCCCACTATGTAAAGGGAAACACCTGCTGTCTGTGGCTGCCTGTTCCCAGTCTCCCCACCGGTTGTTAAACACGGCAGACAGGAACGAGGCCTGCTGAGGCTGCTGTCCGCTTGGAGCTCTGCAACCTGAGAGGAAAGGCTGTAAAACTGGCCGGGTGCAGTTTAATGAGGAAGAGCACCTTTCAAGCAAGATGCATTATGAAAGGAACCTTTTATTGTCATCTGCTTCATTGTTTTTGTAGTCTGCCGCTGGCCTAGATGGCGGCAAGAAAGCAGGTGAGGCAGCCCTGCTTTTAATCTGGTCCGTTTACAGTGCTTTCATTCCCCCTGTTGTGGGCGGTTACTGTTTGCAGTGTAGTTTTCAATTTATGAGTTGTTTGTTCTTAAACCCTTTCAATCAGGCGATTCTTCAAACAGAAACTTACTGCAAAAAGCTTTCTTAAACTGAAGTTGTTGTTTTTTTGCACAGTGAGGGATGGTTTGATAGTGATCCCATTATGTCTTCATATTACATTTAATACTTTATGCTTTCTTGACCTGGGTTTCATAGCAACTAAACTGTCCTAGAGGAAACTTCTGCTGGATCTGATTATTCAAAATTGCCCATTACAATCTTTGTAAACACCTCCAGCTTATCAGTAGACTTGGTAGAATATTCAGTTGCTGTTAACTAGAACGAATTAATAGATCTTCTTAATTTTCAATTAGCTGCAATATCTGAAAGTTAAAATGTGTTAATGTCTCTTGAAGATATCTCCTTTGAGTATTGAAAATTTATCGTAAAGTAAATCTGCTTGATTTCAGAATACATTTCTCAGATTTAGTCTGTTGAGTATGCAAATCACTGGTTTGACACAATGGATACCCAGATCACTTGTGCCTGAGTAAAGGATGGAGCAAGGAGAGTTTACAGGAGAATTATGTTACAGTACCTGTTTCCATAAGCAATGGATAACATACATACTAGGATACTGAAGCAGTATTGCTGACCAAACACTTTCTCATGTCTGAGTACTGAGTGTATATGGATTGCCTTCCCTTTACTTGTTTAAAAGGCACTAAAAGTAAAATAGCATTTTTTAATCCTGTTTCAGGAAA